AGGAAAAGGTCTAGAAAGGACAAGAGGAAGGAGGGAAATGGCATATATTGCTAATAACCCATACTGCACATGGCATAGTGTAGGCTCAGCTACTCAGTGATCACAGTGAGATCTCAGACACTCATTCTGTGGCTAGTTAGAAAGTCGGAAATCTCTGCACTGCAAGCGGGGCAGTGACTCTGAGGGTTCTAAGAGGACTAGGAGGATTCGGGTAGTTTCAATCTGCAATGGTTGTTGCTTACCAACTTACTTATCAGCTACTTCTCGGCTCCACATTGACACTGCAGATTAATCGTATTGCAAGCTGCCGCTCAGTGTGTGTATCTGTGTGTATGTGCCAGTGTGTTTCTGAGTGTGGGTATCTGTGTGACAAGCTGTCTTTATATGCCAGTGCGTGTATCTGCTTGTGTATCTGTGTGTTTTATGGTGTGTGAAATATGTCTGTGTGTTAATAGTGTGTGTAAATAGTTGTAATATGGTGTGTGTGACTATGTGTGAGGGCCTGCGAGGGGGTCATGTGGAGGCCTGCATGGTAGGGCATGTGGGGGGTGCACATGGGGGGGGGGAGAGAATTAGTTTTTGCATGTTCGGAGTCTGTAAAAACTTTGAAACTGATATAGTGTCCTTACTGTAAGATCTTTTTTTAACTAGAGGTTTTAGCTGTATATTAATAAATTAGACAACCTACTAGATATTTCATCTATCTTTATTTATGTCCTTATGCACTTTATGAAGAAAATAAAAAACAGTATTTTAAGATTTTTAAAATGAAGATGCTTTATTCGGGATGTTTAGCTTCAAACCTTTCTCAAATAACTCTAAGAACGTATTACATATTTAATATATGGGATTTTTTAATCCAGTGTTTAATAAGTGCTTACATCTAGTACAATTCCTTCTATTCCTTATTATAAGATTTCTTAGACATTCCAGGAATTTTATTCTGCTTTGTACAACCTGCCGGAGAGGCCGTCCTATGTGGACATTGAAATAGTTTTTCCATAATTGGTGGAATTGCTAAACGCTGCGATTGTTTTGGTATATGATTCATATTAAAATACAGATATTATTAAAGAAATCCTTTGAATGTGACCGTAAGTTGTTTCTATTACAAGTGTATATGTATAATATTCCCAGCTCTTATTCTCTCATTGTCATTTATATTCTGACTGTGGCTAAAAGCTGGACCATGGTGACAGCTCGTGATTTAAATAAAGATGGAGATGCGCATTTGTAGTTCATCTTATGAAGAATATAAACAAAGGACAGAGTGTATAAAAGATCTATAAGGGCAGACTCACCCCTGACTTGTATCGTTATAGTTGCTTTGCATGTCATGAACGAAAGTCTCTTCTCTCTTTCGGTGCCTGCCTGCAAGGAATTGTCTTATGTATTGTCCACCTGTTTTATGTGAATTATTCTTAAAATTACACATTAAAGGACCACTATAGGCACCCAGACCACTTCAGCTTAATGAAGTGGTCTGGGTGCCTGGTCTCTCTAGGATTAACCCTTTCTGCTGTAAACATAGCAGTTTTTCTGGCACTATAGTGGGCTTAATGACTAAGTCAGTGTCCTGTTTAAATCTTTAAAGGCTTCTCTTTATATCAGTTTCGCATTTTTAAACTTATCCCATATTTGTATCTGTTTTATTTCTGATATCACTGCCGTTTCAAAGGCAGTCATTTTATCTGCTATTGTACTTCTAGGAAAAAAATGAAGATTTATCTGTTAAATGTATGTGTGTTTAAATTGGGAATTATTCATTATTTCTCTCTATATAGGTTTTTTAGGAATAATTTCTTAAAGGGACACTATAGTCACCAGAACAACTACAGCTTAATGTATTTGTTCTGGTGAGTATAATAGCTCCCTTTAGGCATTTTTGCCCCTAGGGACACCTCCAAGTGGCCACTCCTCAGATGGGCACTGGAGGTGCTTCCTGGGGCAGTGCTGCATCCCCACGCTCTGCATGGAGACGCTGAATTTTCCTCATAGAGATGCATTGATTCAATGCATCTCTATGAGGAAGTCCTGATTGGCCAAAACAGCATTTGACCCCGACCCCGTGCCGATTTTAGCCAAGTCAATGCTTTCCCTTTGGGAAAGCATTGGATTGGCTAAAAATTGGCTATTTTGATAATGTCACAAGGGGGGCGGAAATAAGGTGAGTTTTAAACCTTTATAGGGGGGACAAGGGGGGGCGAGCCACCTAAATGGTGGGTTAAACACTATAGAGTCAGGAATACATGTTTGTGTTCCTGACCCTATAGTGATCCTTTAAGGCACAGTTTTTGTTTAAACGTATTGAGGTCAGCATACGTATCAAAGTGATTTAACTGCTTACATGGTGCAAATTTAAGTCTTTTCTTTAGGGGCGTAGCCTGACACCAAGCAAAGCTTTGTGCTGGTGGAACAGAAAAAGTACATTTTTCCACTGAAACTTTCCAAGGCTGCGGGTTTGGGTCCACTCAGAGAAGATGTTCCTCCAAAAAAAAGAGAGGCCAATAAAGCCCCCTTCTTCACAGTAAAAACACAATTCAAACTTAGAAACTAAAATTGAAGAATTTGCCTTAGTACATAACTCTTTAGCTGACAAAGTCACCACATACAGTTGGGTTCTTTCCATTGTAAATGAAAGTTACAAGTTGGAATATCTAAATTAGACATTTCTTCACAGAATCAAAAACACAAAGTGATTTATAGAAAGGTGAACAGCGCTAAAAATCAGAAAATGTACATACGTTTTGTAGAAATACTGGCCAGCAGAGTAAACTTTGAGGAGCTATATCAGCTCGGTGTTAAGAGCCTGGACGGAATAATCCCCGTCTATGGATTTCTTGAGGTTCAAGACCGTTGGTGAATTTATAGGTGTAAATATTCGTTACATGAAAAACAAGAGTAAAATACACCACATGGTATAGTACGTAAATATAAAATATTGTGAAAAAAAAAAGTGGATGATCCTACTTACATATACTAGAGCAACGACCTGCTCTAGTTTGAAGAATTTCAGGTGGAATAATCCCCACCTTGGGATATAGTGGACCCAGGTATAGCAGCAAAGCAGTATTGGATAGGAAGGAGGACAAAAGGAATGACTGGATAGTTTTTCACTTTTGAGAAAGCTTCGGCGAAACGCGTCAAGTGAGGAAGAATTTTGGACTTTTAAACAGGACTGGTTTTATAGTTTATTATTCACTTTTTACTTATTGTATTAAAGTATATATATTTTTTAAACTATCCAGTCATTCCTTTTGTCCTCCTTCCTATCCAATACTGCTTTGCTGCTATACCTGAGTCCACTATATCCCAAGGTGGGGATTATTCCACCTGAAATTCTCCAAACTAGAGCAGGTCGTTGCTCTAGTATATGTAAGTAGGATCATCCACTTTTTTCACAATATTTTATATTTACGTACTATACCATGTGGTGTATTTTACTCTTGTTTTTCATGTAACGAATATTTACACCTATAAATTCACCAACGGTCTTGAACCTCAAGAAATCCATAGACGGGGATTATTCCGTCCAGGCTCTTAACACCGAGCTGATATAGCTCCTCAAAGTTTACTCTGCTGGCCAGTATTTCTACAAAACGTATGTACATTTTCTGATTTTTAGCGCTGTTCACCTTTCTATTTTATCTGTCTATTTATCACAAGGTAGAGGAACACCTTGTTGGTGAACTGCTGCTCACCCCTGAGAAGAGAGCGCTTATTATTCTTTTGCATTTGACAAAGTGATTTATCAAAGCAAATAGGGAGCTATTAGTAGTTACTAGTTAACTAGGGCCATTTCTAATTATCTAAAGTGTTTATCAATAATTTAGGTGCCTCCGAAGGCACACAGGATTTGTAACTAAATTAGGAATACTTCGATTATTATATCTCTGATTTTTACCATTTGTTCGCAATCCGAGAGTCTCAATACGTATTGATATATTAGTTTCCTGTGTTTTCCCACTTTTCTTTGACTGCTGATAATGGATTACAACTTTTGACTGTTTAGGTGAAGTAACCATTTCATACATACATATTAGTATTGAAGCCGACCAGCAGGCGGTCACTAATTAGATATAAACTGCTGTTCCTGGTTCAGCGACATTTTCATATATATTGTTACATATCTTGTAACAGTTACTACATATTTCTGTTTAATACTATGTAACTCAGTGCAGAGAGGGCACAATATCATTTAAAGACAAGGATTAGATTAGTCCTGGATGTGTAAACATTACATTTATTAGTGCCACTGCTGACTCATGTTAAATCATTATCTTTTAATAATCTAAGTCTTGATTAAACTAGGATATATTCTGTTCAAGTGTTTTTTTCATTTATTGTGATTTTTCTCTTTCATTTTCAACACATTTCTAATAAAACGTATTTATTTTTATTAAATATTAATATATGAGGAATTATCGTTGACTTTCTATGGTATACACTTATCAAGGGAATGTCTAAAGATAAGAGAGATCGTCTTCACAGCAAAGTAAATTTCCAATCTGCTGGTTTTAGTGTCTCTGACCATTCACCTGGTCAATGGGATATGAAGATTCCTCAACAAGTCTCTGAATGCCAGTTTTGTCCAGGTGAGACTCTTGAGAGATGCAGATTTCTTTTCCTATGAGACAGGTTGTCCCCTGCTGAACAACGGAGCAGAACCTCAGAAGAGGTTTTCTTCTAGAACAAGTGAATGGTCACTACAGACACCAGCAGGAAAGGTTGGGGGGCACATCTGGACAATTAAAATTTTAAAGGCGGTGGGGGACCGGATGTTGAGCGGTGTGGCGGCTAGCTAAGCGTGCTCGGGTGGCTCGAGCTCATACGACGATTAGGAAAAAAAAGTCCCCGCTGTAACCCCGCTGTAGCCCTGCTGATCTACTTGATCGATCCGGTCTATCCGGTTTACCCGGACTACTTCTGAGGACACAGCCGGTTACTCAGCCTACCCAGTTCTTTCGGCTTATTCAGCCTATTCGGTCTGCCTGGCTACTATGTCGACTCAGCGAACTAAGAAGCCCGCTGAGATCAGATACAAGTCGGCTTTTTTCGCGGCTAAACCCTCAAAGCAAGTTGAGTATATGCCTCAAGATCATGCTGAGCTCTCAGACACGGAGCAATTAATGGAGCAATCAAATGAAACTTTGGAGGCCCCACTCACACAGCGGGTATTACAAATTATGCTCGATAGTGCAGTCATCAGAATGCAGTCTACGTTCACAGATGCTATTTCTGAAGTTAAGAAAGACCTGACAGAGTTAGCTGCACGCACGCATAATGTGGAGACCGATTTACGGAACTCATGTACTGAGACTGAAAAACGTTTTGTGCGGTTAGAGGAGCAAATAGCCTCCCAAGAACTTAAAATTATGAACCTGGAAGACAGGTCACGGCGAAATAATGTTCGGCTAAGAGGTATATTGGAAGAAGTAAGTGCACAAAGCTTAACAGCTTATGTTACAGAGTTCTTTCAAACTCTACTACCAGATATTTCAACTGAAAAGCTACTATTAGATCGTGTGCATAGGGTACCAAAACCACAACATCTTCCCTCCACTACACCAAGAGATGTCCTCGTAAGGATTCACTTTTTTAACACCAAAGAGCTGATCTTAAGAGCTCACAGAAATAAAAAAGATATACCGGAGAGATTTAGAGGAATATCTCTGTTCTCAGATCTATCAGCAGAGACCATGAGACGTAGACGGACCTACAAGGATATTACAGAATCCCTTAGAAGTAACAACATATCTTATCGCTGGGGATATCCAGTTAAGCTTATCATTCTTAAAGAAGAGGGAAATATAACACTGACTTCACCGGCAGAAGGCGAGGAACTGCTACAGAGATGGAAGATACATCTACTACATGAGCAAGATAAAGATAAAGATCATAGCAGGAATCTACGAGAAGAAGGCCGGGTACTCAGACCTAAAAAGAACTAAAAGGAGCCAAAAAGAACCAAAAGAACTCGGACTTAAAAATAAATTTAGATTCGAATTAAGTTAAATCTTTTTTTTTTCTCCTCGGAGCAAGCCATTAAGGATTAAGGAGCAACCCGAAAAGTGAACTATAAGACCGCAAGTAACTTACTTATTTTATTATTTATTATAATTATACAATGTTAATAACATAATTACCTGTGTAGGATGGTAACCTTTAATAGGTTATTTAATGGTGTTAGCTGTGTTGATTATATTAGATAACTTACAACAGTTGCAATTATTAACTATTAATTGCCTCAGAGTGTAGATACGCAATCTTATATTACAAAAGCAGTAATAATAATGTGTAATGAGTAATGGGATGCGGCAGTAAGGGATAATAAAGGATATTAGCAATATTAATTATTTATCTAGACAAATATAGCCTAATATGAATTAACAATATGCTATTATTACTGTTATTATTGTTATTTTTTATATTTTGTTTATATATTATTTAACTTATGCTGGTATACTAAAAATTAATTGGAAATAGAATAGATTGAACCTGTGGATTAATACTAAACCTATGAATTAACATGTTAATATAATGATTGATACTAAAATAGATTAATCTACATATGCTAAGTAGACATATCTGTGAAGGAGTTAATAGATTATTTACCTAGACATAAACACAGCATAAGAGGAATTAACTATATGTTATTATTACGTTGTTTTTTTTTGTTTTGTTTTTTAAATATATTTTTAAACTTATGCTGGTATACTAAAACATTAATTGATAATAGAATAGATTGAACCTGTGGATTAATATGAAACCTATGAATTTACATGCTAATATAATGAATGTTAATAATTTAATCTATATATGCTAAGTAGATACATTAGTGAAGGATTAATTAGACTAAATAAATGATTATAAGGACGCAGGGATCAATGCGTGTTAATTTAGGCGGGAGATACACTATTTAATACTCATTAAGACACATGTATAATCAGCTTAGTTATGCACTTGGTAACTTAATTTAATAATAGGAAGAGAAATGGATGGGGAAGTGGTGATAGTAGGAAAGACAGACCTGAGGTAACTTGTGTGGCTGTTATTAAGACTGCAAACAGGATTTTAAATCCCCTTTATAATACCTCACCCCTAAAAATGTTCATCGACTATTCTGATATCATGCTTATACATATAACTTTAATCAGTTATATTAGATTCAGTGCTCTGTGGAGTTCCTTTTTCCCTTTTTTTTTTTTTTCTCTCCTTTAATTATATAATGGAAGGATCCTACAAAATATGGGTTAAAAGACGGAATTATTAGGCTAACACTACTTTAATAACTACATATTATTAACATTGCAATTATAGCCTAAAGTGTCTATAACATTTTTACTTGATTACCGTTATTTAAAGCACTTTGACACTATCTTTAAAAAATATATAACTTTGTTTATTTATATGAGACCTATATTAGTAATTATAGCATATTATAACTTGAAAAAAGGTATACCCCAATATAGGGCACTATAGAATTTAAAAGTACTGCTTTATTAAGGTGCATACATTTATAAGTCATATCTTATTATAACATACGAATTTTGTAAGAATACGGGTGGAGACTGAATATTAATATTAATAGTTAATGTTAACGTAATAAATATATCTTTATACCTATTAATAGATACTAGAATTTATAAAGATAAAACAATATGGTTTTGACATATGTTAATATAAGTAGTAAACTGTGGTGCTACCTAAATAATTTGTTGTGTTGATAAAATGATTGACGGAAAAGTAGGATGTTATGCTGACCTATACCACTAATGTTGATCAATACTAATCTACTTAGCAATACGCTAATATTTTAAATGAAGATATATAGGCTTATATTTTCAAGCTAAAGAATAGAGAAGCAGATAGACCTAAAAAATGAAACATAAGTTTAAAGCAAGGATTACGTAAGCTTAAAGCCTATTTTTTTTTAAGAACTAGTGGTATGGTATAAGAATTACCTCTGTATTATACTATTTAGTGGCCGGTCTTACATACAGTAGCGCGGTATCTGTTAGTGAGTATTGGTGTATTTGTTTGAGAGCAAACCCTAGAATTGTATATTTTTTGAATATTTTTTACATATTATTATATTTTTTTTTTAGTTTATTTTTGAGTTTATTTTTATTTATAAAGATTTATAAATACTACTTATGGAAACATACAATTTAAATTTCGGGACAGCTAAGCATAGAAGAGCTCAGTGCAGCTGCCACTATAGCTCTAACCGTTCACATTACCCCCCACCCAAGAAGTGTCATTTGGATATTCTGACACTTATTTAAGTATCACATTGTTGTTGTTTAGACTTAGTCTATTCATAAGCCACATTCAGGTTGTACTGTACAGTGTCCTGTGCGGCCCGGGACAGCACTGTACAGATCAACTTCTGAATTGTTTTTCTCCCTCCCCTTATTTACTTTGTGCTTCTTGTTTTTCTCTCTTTTCCTTGTGGGGTTTTGTTTTGTTTTTTTTCTCTTCTCCGGACTTTTCATTTTATAGGTCCTAATTATAACCTACGGGTTTAAAAAGAAAGGGAAAGGAAAAAGAAAGAAAAAGGGAAAATGAAAATTTATTCTCACAATGTTAGAGGGCTTAATGTACCTCACAAAAGATTTACGATCCTTAAAGAGATTCGGAAATCACAAGCCGACATACTTTGTTTACAAGAGACTCACTTTAAACACAATTCTAAACCAATATTAAATCTTAAGAAGTTTCCATTTCAATACCATGAAACATCCTCTAAGAAAACTAAAGGTGTATCAATCTTATTCAGTTACCGATTAACCTTTGAACAGATAGCAACATATATAGACCCAGAAGGCCGATTTCTTATTCTAGTTTGTACAATAAATAATATCACATACACTATAGTGAATGCATACTTTCCTAATGTGAACCAAAACAAATTTATGCGCTCACTCATGAATAAGGTAACTGAATTGCAAACTGGCATTACGATTACCATGGGAGACTTTAATCATATTTTAGATCCTAATATGGACTCAACAGCAAATCATTCAAGGAAAAGAAAGTCATCTTTACATAAGGAATGCAATACTCTTAATAAAATTTTAACAGGCTATGGACTTTATGATATCTGGAGAACATTTCACCCTAATACTAGAGAATACACGCATTATTCCCTAGTTCATAACACATATTCACGTATAGACGGTTTTATATGCATAGCTCGCACTTAACAAGTTAAATCTTGTGAGATTGGAGTATCGACAGAATCAGATCACAACCCAGTTATACTTAGCCTAAAGGATCAATATAACTACACAAATAGAAGCACATGAAGACTAAACGATCAGTTATTAAATGACCCTATATTCTTGGATAAAATTCAACAAGAAATATGCCAATATTTTGATACAAACAACCGCGGAGATATAAACTCCACAACATTATGGCTGGCGCATAAACCAGTAATAAGAGGTCTATTTATCAGTAGAGCTTCATATCTTAAAAAGTCTAATCAAACAGCCAGGCTGAACCTCCTAAAGAAACTCCAAGATTTCCATAAACAGAATCAGGCAAGGCCATCCGTGTCTCTGCAAGACAGCATTCAACAAATACAAAATGATATTAATGAAATTCATCAACGACAAACCAACATTGCTTTGAAAAAACTTAAGGCGACATCATACTCTATGAGTAATAAAGCTACTAGAGTACTCGCACAGAGACTCCGCGATAAACAAACTCAATCTAGAATTCCATTTATACTTTCTAAGACAGGACAAAAAATTATTCAACCAAAATTGATTTGTGAGGAATTTGCAGCTTTTTATGGGCTACTGTATAACTTAAAAGATCAAAAAAATCTTCCAAAACCAACTTCTAGAGGAATAGGTAAATATCTGGATAAATTAAATTTATCTACTCTACAAAGGAAGAAATAATTCAACAAATAAAGAGTATGGCCAAAGGGAAAGCACCAGGACCTGACGGTTTTTCCGACCTGTATTATACTCTGTTTAATGAATCCCTGGCCGACCCATTGACCCATTTTTTTTAATGAAGGCACTAAGGCAGGGAAATTCCCTACAGAATTTTTAACGGCACAAATAATTACCATTCCGAAATTAGGGAAACCCCCCACGGCTTGTCAAAATTTTAGACCAATTTCATTATTGAATATAGATGCTAAAATATATGCAAAAATATATGCGGAAAGATTAAAGTTTATTTTACCTACTTTAATTCATACAGATCAAGTGGGATTTGTGTCAAGCAGACAGGGGTCAGATAATACGCGGAAGGTATTAGATATTTATCATTTTGTAAAATCATCTAAGCAGGAAAGCGTTGTATTATCTTTAGATGCTGAAAAAGCTTTTGACCGTTTGAATTGGACTTTTTTATGTGAAACCTTGAAGGCATATAAATTCCCTCCTCCCTTTCTTTTAATCATTAAAGCTCTTTACAGTAATCCTACAGCGACAGTACTGACTTCAGGATTTTGCTCAAAACCGTTTAATATTACTAATGGAACACGCCAGGGTTGTCCCCTATCGCCGATGCTCTTTAGAGCCTTTACTTACAGCAATACGGCAAAATGAAGATATACAGGTAGTTCAAATAGGGCGGAGCGAATATAAACTTAACGCTTATGCAGACGACATTTTGTTAACAATCACTCAGCCACATATCTCCTTACCAAACCTAAAGAAAGAACTACTTTTATATAGTCAAAACTCGCACTACAAGCTCAATACAAGCAAATCGCAAGCAATGTGCCTTAATATTCCTAAATCTCAAGAAGATAGACTTAAACTAGATTATCATTATGATTGGAGGGAAGATTATTTACTGTATTTGGGAATTAGATTCACTAAAAAAGAAAAAGACCTATTTTCAGCTAATTACAAAAAAATGATTTAAAGATACGGAAAGCCAATTGAAAGCCTGGGGAAACGTATTACTATCATGGATA